TGTGTGTGTGTGTGTGTGTGTGTGTGTGTGTGTGTGTGTGTGTGTGTGTATGAGACATAGAGAGGTATGCGTCTGCGCTAACATACATTAGCAGTTCTCGGTCTAAGGTGTCTTGCTGGCACAGCATGTGCTGCTGTGAAAGCCCCGCCTTTATCTTCAGCTAGCGTATTTTCTACGCCTCTCTCCTCCCATTTATAGACTCACATTCTCACAAATGTATACCTCAACACACAATACACAAAGCCACATCAGTGGCATTTTATGGACAATTTATTGCGTGTCTTTAACTTACACAACAAGCCCATCAGAGGAAAGTTAATCAAAATCAAATTAGAACACGAAGCCAGATCCAGTGTGAAACTCCATGTTGGTTTTTAACAATCAGCAACTCTGCTCATCTGATTAAAATGGTTTTGCCATAAAAAGCGGACTGTCTTAAAATGCAGAGATTCCACTCAGTCGGGGTTTGAGACTGAACAGCTCAGACTGCGTGTCTCATTGCTAAAACCAAAATGTGTTGAACATTTCTGATGAGGAAAAAAGAAACAAAAAAACTTTTGTTGTAGGTTTTTATAAAATAGAGCTGTCGCTGGGAGGGCACAAGGTGCTCACCAAGCAGGAACAGCAGCAGACTAGAGTTTTAAACCTTATTGGTTTCTACCTGCACACACATGGATGCGATGTACATACACCAGCCACTATATTGGCTACACTTGTTGAAAGTGTCTATTTACACAAATAGGAAATCAGCCAATTAAATGGAAGTGATTCAGTCCACTTAGACAGAACAAAAGAGAAAAGCTAATCCAACATTAGCTCAAATAAACACACATTCCAGCTAATGTTTAAATTAGAAATGTACATCCTCCAGATTCTTCTTCTGCTACAAGTTCTACAGGTATCCTCTGTAGCGATGTCCACTGGGGGCCTCAGGCTGCATCACAAAAACTAACACTGTTAATGCAGAGGACACAAGTGGCTCTAGAAAGGAGCTTTTCTTCTGTGAACTAGGGAAGTTTTCAGACCACAAGTGGCTCCACGTGGCTCTGCACCCAGAAAGTCTTTCATTTGCATTGCGTGCACTATGCAGCAGTATAAAATGAATACTGCTTTCAACACACAGCACTTTGCTGTGGCCAAAGATAAAAATGGTGGAACATTGACTGTGGTGGAACATCCTTTCACAGTCACTAAACACAGGATTTATCACATCTAATAAAATATGCCAGAACAGGGATGATTTAGTCAGTAAAACAGTGCTTTTTGGCTCATTGCAATTATATATTTATATCCTGCCTTGTTGTTTCTCTCCCTCTCTTTATCATTAGCAGGGGAAGCTCTATTGCTAGTTTAAGCAAGAGATATGCATCATCAAGGCTTCACACAGTTACAAAAAAAAAAAAAAAACTCCGCCTCAGTCTTATTTCTTCTACTGCACGTAACACGAGAGGTTCACTGCTGATTGCCGCAGAGAGTTCTGTGGATGCCACTTTTGGTCGGAAAACTATGTATCTTGGTGAGCAAAAGCCTTGTCCTGGAAATCTACAACCCCAGCATCCTCATAATTAATAATCTCCTGCATATAAAATCCAACCTAAAAATGTGTGTCCCTCCTCAATTCAGTCTCCATCATTGACCAGCATCATTCTCTTTCTGGCTGCTGTATAGTCATATTTGTAGTCCTACAGATGATACAAATGTAGTATTCCTTCATTTGTGTGTGATGTGGCTGTGTGTGCACTTGTGTGCATATTGTACACTGTGCAGTGTGGTTGTCTTCATGTGGAGACATCTGTTGCCTTAACTTAATTACAGCCTAACCCCTCCTCTTTCCTAGAATGAAAGGCAAATACACATACTTACACACTAGTCTACATCTCTTTGGTCTCTTAAAAAGATACTGGGTTTGTAAAACTTTCTTCCTCTTTATGTTTTCAGTATTATTTGTGTTCTCTATAGAATTTTTCTAATTGGCATGTATGTTAGATACCATAAACACAGACCTCTGTGTTCAGCTGCTTTGTTGTGGCTTCAGATGTTGCCGTTCCCCCCGTTTGCTTGAACATGTACTGCAGTCTGGGACAAAAAAAAATGCATGCTTTATGAATGATTTCAGGTCTCTTGATTTTTTTTTTTTTTTTTTTTAAGATCTGTGACATTTTAGTGTTATGGCAGAGCAGATGGGCATTCCCAAAAATACTCAGATGCATGTGTGGGATATGTCTTTTAGGGTTTGCCAATGTGCTGCTCTTTAATTACTCATCTTGGTCAGCTTTTGAAGTTGGTTTGCCCTAGTTTGTTTCATGGTTCCACCTGTGCTTTGTTGTTGTTGCCCACTTAACTGTAATTATGTCTTTGTCTATACAGGTGATTCCTAAGGACTACAAGACTATGACTGCCTTGGCCAAGGCTATCTCAAAGAATGTGCTGTTTGCTCACTTGGATGACAATGAGAGAAGGTACAAAGTCTTTCTTAGCCCAGTGTACGCCAACTTTGAATCAGTTTTGATGGACAAAACTTTGACTTTCTTTTAAATATATATGAGTGCCATTGTTATAACCTTGTGACCACTGCCTGTCAATGCTGCTTGAATGTTGAAGACTCAAGCCGAGGAGCTGGGCATTGCCAGAATTAGCCAAGGAAGTGATACACTGATGATTGGGGCAGGGGCCTGTCTGCTTGTATTGCATTATGTTTTTGGTTGATATAGTAACCTCTCTGGGCAACATGATCATGTTGCATACACTGATATAGCAGTGGTCTAGAGGCTAGTTGGAAACCAAGAATTATTCCCATTTGTTTTTTAACATAAAGCTGGCAAGCCTCACCAATCCCTCCCTTCTTCACCATCTGCTTGTATTCTTTCATGTCCCTCCTCTCTTTAGCCGTCTTCTCATCATGCTTACATCTGTCCCAGCTGGAATAGGGTTTCATTGGCGGAGAGAATCCATTATGCCCCATGGAGAGGAAAACACTGGCGCTTTCCTGTTGGCTAGAGCCCACACGGACCAAACCCAAAACACAGTTTTTCCTTTCTTTCATCAGCTGACAGTCTTCAATGCTCCCTTGGCGTTGGCAAGCGTGCCTCTGATTGCCTGTCACTGCCTCTGAAGGAGCCTCGACTGGTCTGCAACATGCGATGAGTCCGGACAGTTTCAAAAACTACGCTGTTGAGTGCTTGACATGGCAGATTGCGGGCCCACAAGAAAAATACCTAGCAAAAGACGATAAGGCATCAGGTTTTAATATACTCAAAGCTGTTTGCAATGCCAAGCCATGTAATGCAGTTGACATCATCTCATGAAGCCATGCAAGAAATAGATTTTATTTGACTGGCCGTCTTGTTTGCTTTCTCTGAAAGGCATAGTTAGCATATACCATTAATATCATTCATACAGGAATTCCTTTTGAAAGTTTTGGGTAAACATGCAGTAGGATTTTTGGGTCCGCTTTCTTGTTCTGAAGCAGCTCGTGAGTTCTGGAATCATACTGATGTTCTATTAGTACAATGTAATATCTATATCAAAACATGTAAACCACTGGAAAGAAACTACAGGGGAATGCTGGGAAACGAAAATAACTGATGAATGGTAAAAGGTACGATTTCTCCTGCGACATGGATTGATGGATCGATGGATCGATCTATCGGACACACAGATGGAAAATGGCTAAATAAATTTATTTGATTGTTCTGCAGTTTTGATCAAGTGGCCATGAGATATAACATCTTACACAGGTACTATTTGACAAAAATTATAATTAAAATTATATTAATGTATTTGAAGACATCAGCTAACTCTGGAAACAAAACTTAGGGTTGCCCATGGAGAGAATTAAACTGGTTTTCCCAAGCAAATTATCTTTTTACAATAATAACTTATGAAGGAGCAAGTTGGCAACTTACTTTTAGTCTTTGTTTTGTTGTCCTTTCTATTTTTTGTTTCACTTGTAGCCATGATATTTTATGACTTTGAGGTTTTCATACATTTACTGTCGACTTGAACCAGTTATGCTCAAAAGTGTAGACTTGGACAAATGCAAAGTTGCACAAATAAACCCAGAGTTCCTGTCGACATGAATCAGTCGGCTTAGAATCCGAGAATATAACAGAATTGAAAGGCGGAGTTTTGTATAACATGTTACCAAGGTGCACAGTTTTGATAATCTGCCGTAATTTAAAATCACAGTTACAGCAAACCACAAGAGAGAAGCAGAACAATCTTCAAATTAAAGAATAAGTTGATGCCATCTGCTGTAAAGCACTGGGGAAGTCGGAGAGTAAGGGACGTTGACTTTCTCAAGATGTGCCAGTGCTGCCTCTGACTGACGCAGATCAGCAGATGGAGCCGCCTCTCAGCCTCCTACCCTTTCATTTCTGCTCTCCTCTCAGACTGCAAGCAGCTGGCTCTTTGGCTTGTCAGATGTTCTTGCAGATCTGGTGCTAGTGTGTGAGAAGTTAGTGACAGTTGACAATTACTTCTGGTATTAGCTTGTATTTAACATCACAATACTTGTACATGATTAAAATGTCATCTTCTGAAGATCAGTTGGTACATTAGGCAATATAGTTATATGTATTTATAGTCTGTAAATACTTTTAACTTGGTACATTTGAAACCAGATATATATGCACACTAAATAGAATTGTACTTTTTTTTTTTTTTTCCTGTGCTGGACATTAAAATCAGACCAAACTTTTCATGTGCCAGGATAGAATTACCATAATTATTAATATTTGCTAAATACCAGAATACTTAGGAAGTCTACTCAAGTTAATGTTACCATCCCTTCAAACAATTTTTGGCTTTGTAGTCTTCTAATAACAATAAGTTTAAACCTTTTGAGTGAATTTGAGCCATATGTACAATACATAGTCAGTTTATGTAAACTTCTGAAATTAAGCAGTTTTCTCTACTCTCACCCTCATTATTCTGCCATTTAGCAAAAAGAAGTAATTGTCATAATTATTACCAATGTAAAACAGGAAAAGTTTAGTCTGATTTAATGTCAGATAGTGAGAACAAAACGATTATTTGTCTCTTTATACAGCATACCTCACACAAAGGGAGAAATGTTCTGACTGACAGTCGTGTGTGTTTCAGGCAGCATGTATGATTAGTCAGTCAGCAGTTATGTAAGCTGAGCGCCAAAGATTTGTTCCCCCATTAGCAAACATATTATCCTATCATCCCTTTCAGTAGTGAGCGAGATTAGAAACAATGAAGGCCTCTTTGTTTCTCTGCCGTCTGCAGAGCTCTTCTTCTGCTTTCATTTCTTTTTATGTGGCTTTGTTTCTTCTTGCTGTACTACCCCAGCTCACCATGTCTGTCATTCATAAGCCATTTTATCTTCTCAACTTACTTATCTGCCTTTCTAGGAATTTGGGGACAATGCAAGCAACCTAAGCATTTATTTTAATCACCGTGTTTTACAGGACAGCCAGAATTGCTTCCTTATGAAATCATTTTGTCACTTCAACTGGTTTTTCTTTTTGGTATTATGACTAAGACTTTTAGATAACATGTTATTTTCACTGTGTGCGATGGTACTTTTCTTGGCTAGGTAAAGTTGAAACTTTAGTTTTACGTTAGGTCTAACGAATTGTATTACCACAGCACAGAGTTACACAGAAGATCATTGTTCCAAAGGATGAACACATTTTTAGAACATGACCATTAACGTCTGTTTCACAAAGTTCGCCTTGTTGACATTCATTGCATGGAACCTTTTTGATTCTTCTTCCTAATAGTTATAGTGTAAGTGTGAAACTAGCTCACACACATAACCAGGCGCGCATACCATCATCGCTTCAAAGGACAATGTCATGAGGGACTTGTGCACACACGCGCGATGTGTCCACATGCGCGCACACACACACACTACTAAGAACATTCTCAAGTAAGCATGTCAGAATGTTTTCCCAGTGTGTCTGCTCCAGCTGGGAGTGTGGAGTCTTTGATTAACACGCCATTCCATATGTCAAACTTTATGGCCTCAAAGTTTTTGAGCTCCACCAGCCGCATGTGCGCCAATGCGTGCGTGCAGTCATTGCCTCCTCAGCTGCTTGGAAATAAAATGTTGCTGCATTGCAGACTTTTAATTAATCTGTTTTTATTCAGCGTTGGTTCCAGTTCCAGTTTGTGGCGTTTATAGTGATCGAAAGGAATGTAATAGAATATAAAAGTAAAACCTGAGTTTTTTTTTTTTTTTTTTTTTTAATCTAGGGTTGTAACAGTGCATGTATTTGTGGAACCAGCACTCATGGATACTTGCATTCTGATGAAAAGTACCATCAGTCAAAGGCATCTCATTTATAAGATCATACACACTTGTGTTTTTATTGCATTTTAATAGGTTTCATGACAGAACATTAGTAGATTATGATGCATCTAAAGCATATGTGGTAGTGATAACCAGCTGGAACCTGAAGAACAACTTTCTTCAATTAGAAATGACCATATCACCAGTTTAAAATATTTTTGCATTTGCAGTGATAATTTCACTCAATTTTTTTTTATCTTTGAATGATACATAAAGTTGGTTCTAATACAGATTTGCTTTGCTGTTGTCATAAGTTTACATCATCTTTTTTTACTGTACTTCAATCATTAATGTTGAATATTGAATACATATTCTTGCTTAAATTAAAGAGGAAAAGGACAAAAAAGGAAAACTAAAATGAAATAGAAAAGCATGATTAAGAAATGAGTTGACAAACCTTAGGAAAGTTGAAATGTATCAGAGATTGAGGCTTGATTAAAATCTTTAGAGATTTCCAGGTATGCTTTGGGGTTTTATTTGTGGCCTGGCAACAACCGGGTTGATGACGTCACCTTCAGGAGGAGAAAAACAGGTGAACTGGCTCAGTGGACAATCTGAATGGAAACTCACAGTCAATGTTTTTGCATCCAGCGTACAAAGATCATCAAATACAGCCAACACTTGCTCTGCAGTTTCTGGCTTTTCACATTGTCTGAAAGCTGAATATTACATATCACAGTGTTTGCTCTGTCCTCTTGATTTGTCAATCATCACACAACCTCTGTGACTATCAGGGAAAGAAAAGCTAAACTTTCCCCTTCTTATTCTCTGCTATGCCCCTGCCCTACATCCGTCACATCTCCAAGTCAGACTGTCAAAGATTTTGGTATTATTCCAGGCATTAGTTTGGCCTTGAAAAGCTCCTCCAGCTGCTCCCACGTGTAAACAAATCTCTCGTTGGCATGGCTACGCCTCATAATAAATGTTGAAAAGTGACATATGTATCAGGAAACATCAGTCCGGCGAAGTCGACGATGACACATTCCGACCAGACGTGCTGCATCAAGTTGACTTTGGCTTCTCTAAACTTTTAGTTGACTGGATCGAATCAGACCAGCTCCACCAGAACTTAAATTGTTACAGTAACTTTAAATTAAAAGGGACAAATGCCGCAAATAAGCAAACACCACACCATTA